TGTCACTACTGCTGCTTGATTACGATGATGCGGTACTTGCGGAAGGATGGAATCCTCCGTTTCCCTGTGTGCTGCACATTCGTCCGTACGTCAAACCGAGTTCAACTACATCAGCGGTGATATTCACTTTCTACGAGTATCCACGTCTTGTGATGCTATTCTTCCACCGGGATCTGTAGATCAATCAAGCTTTGTCTGCTTACCATGACACTGTCCAACAAATCGTACAAATCGCAAGAGTCCTGGAGGAAGATCCAGCAATTCCTCCCGCCCCGACTCCATTTCACTCCCGAACATGCGCCTGTTGAAGAATGGTGGCAGAGCCATGGCCACAGCATCCACCTCGACCGCTGGCGGAATCCCGATGCCAAGGTACGCGTCATCCTGCATCACGGTGTCGGCACCAACGGCCGCCAGATGTCCGTGATTCTGGGCGTGCCTCTCCACGCGGCGGGCTTTGAGCTGGTCGCCATCGACATGCCCGGGTATGGATGCACCAAGGCGAACGGCGTGTACTCATACGACGACTGGGTTCGCATCGCGGTGGATTTCATCGACCACGAGCTGCAGAACGATCCCCGACCGATCGTGCTCTACGGACTGAGTGCGGGCGGCATGCTGGCCTATCATGCGGCAGCCATCAGCAAGAAGGTCTCAGGAATCGTCGCCATGTGTTTTCTCAACCAGCGCAACCAGCAATGCGCCGATACAACCGCGAGAAACGTCTTCATGAGCCGGGTGGGCGTGCCGATGGCGCGGCTGTGCAACAACTTTCTCCTCAAAGGGCTGTCAGTCCCGATGGCCCTGCCAGTGAAGATGTCAACCCTGGTCAACGATCCGGACGCTCTCCGGGTCTTCCTCGCTGATAAGACGTCCGCGGGCTCATGGGCATCCATGCGCTTCCTGTCGACATACATGAGTTACGAGCCCGCCATCGAACCGGAGCAGTTCGACGTCTGCCCGATTCTCCTGACCCAGCCGGCCGAAGATCGGTGGTCGCCGCGCTGGATCAGTGAGCTGTTCCTGTCGCGGGTGCAGAAGGTGCCGGTGAAGAGATTGGAGCTGGAAAATGCCGGCCATTACCCCCTGGAGGATCCCGGGTTGCGGCAGATGGCGGATGTGATTATTGACTTCCTTCGGAGTTTGCCGGCGGTTTAGCTGCAGGTGGGCTCAGATAATCGTTTCGGGCTTATGAAGGGACTATGTGATTGAATAGACATATTTCGTAACTTAGAAAAGATAGATAGTTTTAATTACTGTTAGAGAATAGATACGATTTTCCTAGATTGTCGCCACGGATGACGGTCTCCCGCTATGGTAATTAAGCCCTACGTATGACCTAGCTTTTATGAGTTCTCATCAACATAGTAAGATTCTGTGGATAGACAAATCCAGTATATTTACTGCTTGTCTTCCATGTAGACTGCAGAAAGCAGCATCGCGCCTTGTGGATAAGAATCCCTGACGGGAATCTCCGGGCCAATGCAAGCTGACGAGCTGAGGCAGACCAAGCAAGCCAGTGAAAGCTTTCAAGAGCTGCAACAAGTTTCATATGCAAGGACTAATTGGTTCGTATAGCCAAAGCGGAGGACCGCATCCTGTCAACTTCCGTTTGCTTGTTCCGGCTGCCTGCTTCCAGCCTATGACAGAACCAGAATCCAGCGAATCGCCACATATTCACTTCTCAGGAGGCCAGAGCCGGTGAATTCTCTAGCTATGAGAAATTAATTGCCCTGCCGGCTGGTGCCGCAGTGCCCAGCTCGCTTAGCTGTCCCGTACAGTCACTCACCAGCCCTAGAGATGATCCTCTCTCTCGCTTAACTCCCCCTCGTCTATAAAAACCTCCCCCTCCCTCTCCTCCGTTCTGCTTCTTTCTTCTTCCTTTTATTTCTTCCTTTCTGCGCTTCCAGTCTTCTTCCTCTAAGCGTCGTATATAGTACTGTACATACATATATTAGTATCGTCTTTCCCGTTCATCCATCCTTCTTCTTCTCAACTGTCTATATACGGATTCCTTCAACATGCTAGGTGTCTAGGGATCCAACTGGATCCAACTCGACCTGGGTCTGCCCTGTTCTTACCTTCTTCCTGTTCAATACTCTTGTTCTATTTCCAGATGTCCGACATCTCCGATAAGAGTCCCGCCTACAAAGCTGCGTCCCTACATCCTTCTATATACAAGGTCCGGATGGCAACAGTGGAGTACTACCTACCACAGGAAAGCCTCACAGAAACACAGTCGCTAGCCCAGGTTGTTCCCCCAGGGGTCCCGACTGGCGACAACCAAGTCCATGCCCTCGACTTCCCCGCCGATCTTGATCCCAAGCTCGACGAACATCTCAACGCCAGCCTGTACTGGCGACTGATCATACACCGGATAGATGGACCGCCACATGGAGTCAAGGTTTGTCTGTCTCTACATCTTTCCGCCAAGTGTATTTGAACTTGCCGTCGAAGGAAGACACCTGGTAATATGCTAACATTTACGAATGGAAGAGTCGTCTATATACGACGCTGCTCTAGCGCATCACAATAGCAGTCACACGTCGCCTGGAACAGGCTTCCAGATCTCCGAATTCGCCAGGGGCCTAAGACGGGGCCTGCGAGGAGAAGTTCTTACATGCTGACGGTCAAACAACTTGGGGATTGGAACGGATTCGAAGCAGAAATCCGCCAGAACAGTGCATGAATCCAACAACAATCGCCGTTGATCTCTGCAGAAAATCTATCGTCTCCGTTCTCTGTGTCTTTTGCATCGTCCCACCTTCATCGCTGACTTTTACTCGATGACAAGAGAGGTAGCCCACGTGAGACGGACACCAGCCTGAGGGAAAACTACGCTCGCCCAATTTACCCGATTGATTCCATGTCGAGAATGACAGTGACAGGTTCCTCAAGACGAGGCGTGCCTGTAAAGGGTTTCTTCCCCTGCTTATCTCCACAAAGGTCCTATCTCCTCCTCTCGGCCTGGACATCCTGTGTAAGCATCTCTCTTCGTAAAAATTGGCATGATTAACTAACGATGACCAGGATTGCCCGAACCACCAGAAAGGGGATTCCAGACAAAAAATGATGAGAATGATACCCTTGCAATACCACACTCTTCCACTTTCTGCGATGGCGCAATAGTAGGCACCATCGAGATCTCGTCTTTCGCAGCAGGACACACGCGTCACCAAGAACCCAAAAGATGCGTTGCCATTGGAGATGGCCTCCTTGATTATACAAATCATCGGTTCAGCTTTCTTCCTACATCGGATTCCCTCTCGCAATCGCTCATCCCCATTGTCAACTTCCGATGTTCGCCTCTGCAACATCGTTATCACGCTCGCGGACTGCAGACCAACGCACTGCATATACCTAACCGTCCGCCGGATTTGTATGGACAGATACATTTGGAAACAGCGAGTGGACGGGGAAGTCAAAACCCCGTGGATGTGAGCGTCAATCATGCGGATTTCGAGGCAAAGCCCAAACATGCAGCTCTCCCGATAGACACCTCACCATGTGGGATACAGACCCAGCACAGTCATAACAGCAACGTACCAGCAGACAACAACTCGTGGCCACTGAAAGCGCAGAGTGTGAAACGAACATGAACAGCTATACCAGCTTTCGCTTGGCTCGTTGAAGTCTCATGTTTCTGATGAAATCTCCTGGGATAATTCCCAGCGGTCACTCTGTCTCCTCGCTTCGGCGATGAAGATTCCATTGAAAACGTCGCATCACAGAAAACCAAACCGGATAGGATGTTCAAATGCGATTTTCCACCTGCCCGACTCAGGGCTGCGTTTCGTCCTTGCTATCCTGCTCAGTTCAGTGGCTGTTTTCGCCCATACCTGTCCAGCATGCGTCAGCGGAATTGCATACGCACCAAAGCCTACACCTTCCAAGGCTTTCAACCTTTACAATCACTCCTCTGTGAGAAAAGGCACACATAGCAAAGCGTATTGATCTTGGCAGTTCTCACAAACTGTCCGATCAGAGTCAAATGAGTCCGCGTCAGTTCGTATGCAGAGTGGGCACGTCGCTAAGAAGACACTCGCACGGAATGTTTCTGTTCTTGGGAAACTATCATCTCAATCGACTTCTAGCAGACGCAGAGTCGACTGTAAAGTCTTCTGCTGGGACAACACTCGCAACACAATAGAGGATGTTCTCTATGTCGAGTTCAAACGTGCCGGCATCACTAGTACATGCGCGACGGTTGTTTTTGTGCTGCAAAGTTAAGTCTCTCACCCAGTTTTTCAGGCCTGGCTTTAGAATATAGGAACTAATACGTCTTTTTAGAGGTTTTCGCTGTCCTCTCTGCTCAATTGATTCGACCTGCAAGACTACAACTGTCTCTTCTGTAAGCACTCCCCCACTTCCTTTTTAATTAATAACATGGCCTTCTAACATCTCTTGGATATAGAAAATGCAGCACGCGAATACCGGCCAGGAGTGACGCGTTCAAGACACCCTGACTGCGACTGTGTAATTCCCCATATCTGGGATCCGAACTACGACGTCATTGGCACCCAGGCTTGCCCTGGAGTCAAGATAGCCGCACTTCGTGCTGCTACGGTATCAATTGAAAATGGCCTCAATCGTCTCGAGAACAATGATGGTATTACCGTTGCACGGAGCATAATTCAGGCTGGCTTGGAAGGCATTCGAGATGCCATTAAGGACCTTACTCAGGGTTAGCATTAGGAGTCAATCCAATGAATCGAGCGAAGCGATCCTGCAAGTCTCTTCCACCTTAGTGGAGACGGAGAGAATGGTTCGGCAGACATGAACGCAAAGTTACCAAGTCCACAAAGCGGGTCGATGAGTCATGGACCAGGACAGTGCTGGTGTTGGTCATGCAGACCGCTGCAAAGCTGTCGCCCACTCAAGATGACGATCGTCATCCTGGGCTGGGTCATCATATCGACAGGGACGATCAAGTTTGGTGAAGAGACCGATATTGCCCTACCACCGAAGCGCTCGACGGAAAGTCTTCCCGGACGCTATGATATTTGACAAGGAATTCTTTCATAAGGAACCTTGACGAGGTCGAGACGCTCAGAACATCTATCACTCTCAGGCAGGCCCGGGATATCTAAACTTTGGGTAAGGTTTCCAGCCCGGGAAGACGGCACGGGAACGAGGTGTCATTCATTCGTCTTGACAGATCCCTCCGGATTCCCCCAGAAAGCGTCGACGGGTGAAGGAAGGACAAGACTGGAATATTCATATTTCGATCTTCACCACCACAGGGTTCACCTTCACAAAAGCGGAATGTTGGTGGATGCCGCGAACAGGATGCTCTGTGACAGTGGGATCAAATCAAGCTCCTCCAAATGTTGCAAAAAAGATGACCAGAAGCGTCAAGACCAGCGGCGCCAAAGCCTAGAGCGGGCGCTCCAAGAGGTTGACACTGGATTGGAGAGGGCTGAGGAGATAATTAGAGATGCTTGTCAAGCACTTTGGATCATACAGATCAACCTACGTTGCTGGATCCGAATGTCGTTTGTTCTCTCCCCACGAAAAGAGAAAGAGAATTTGACACGACTCGTTGTGATGTTAGAATGAAGAGGCTACACGAGTAAGTTTCATTTTCTACGTGCTGCGTTTTGTGTGTCAGTTCTTACGCATTGTAGGTTTGTCGAGTATTGCCTGCACTTGTATCAGCCTTGCCAGGTAGTCAGTACAGGATCAGCCAACAACGCCAAAACTTTCCCGGCCTCCCGCCGGTACACAGGTACGCAAGCCCTATCCGGGCGCGAATGGGCCTGGGTTCGCGAGCCGGTGTTGCGGAGTGTCGACTTCACAAAATGTATGGCCGATGACACGGACATGTGTCGCTTATCAACTGATGGCTCCGTATTTTCTTCAATCATTTCACCAGGGCCCCAAAGCGATTACTGCTGCGACTCTGCGGCGAGCCTGGCACTGCTCGCTCCCCAAGGCTACAAAGCATACGACTGCGCGATCCACTAATCGGTCCACACCCGCTGAGCATCTTACGTCTCTGCACGTCGAAGTCAAACCAGCAGTGTGGAAACGGCGCGATGGTGCTGGGCAGGAATACAAAGTCAGGTAATAAGCATGCTGACTACGATCCCGCACCAGGGGCACATTCTCCTGACCAATTCTGGGGCAACGTCTCCATAAGAGAATGTTTCCTGTTTCTGTCTTCTGAGATCAAAAATGGCCAACACACAGCGGACAACAAAGATGGTCTCTTCCGAGGGCAGAATTTCACCAGGCCACTAAACAATCAGTCCTTCGGCGTTGTGTGGTAGGCAACTCGTTACGCATTCCACTGTCCAGGTGAAGAATCATGGGGATGATAGCCTGATCGCCGCTGCAGTGTTCAACTCTCCCCGCAGCAATCATGATTGGGGTGCCTGTCGTACGACATGGTCATCTCAATAAGGCCGATTTGCTGCGACTCGCGTATGACGGCTTAGCAATATTCTGCTGGACAACGTACATCCTCAGCAACCGAATGCCCCTATCAGAAGGAGTTGGCGCGCGGTATTTCGGCCGATGCGGCCGAAATATCACGCGTTTAACTCCTTCTTCTACGCCAATCTCCGAGATAGGGGGTGGTTAGCGGGCAATGATTGCCAGCAGTCTTGTCCTCAGTAGTAGATCGAAACATCCAACTGGACATCATACTGGGTTCCTCATCATCCGGCGTTGGCGTTGTCGAACGCAACAAGACCTTCTTCTAGCTATTTTCTTCTAGCGGTCTGAACTCAAGCAAAACGCGTGAACAATGGCGCAAAAAAAAAAACGACAATATGAAAACTACAAGAGCAATCAACACGACGGAGCGGATACGGTGAGCACTCAAAGAAGCACGGTCAGAGTTCAAGGCCTTTGCAGACGACAAGCTGAAGAAGACAGATTTTTCTTCTTCTCGTTCGAGATGCTAGTGATTCCAATATTGGGTCTCTACATCTCGCGGTCTAGACCGAGTCAGCAGCGATCGCTGGCGCTTTAACGGTCGTGTCGAAATCGTTACGACCTCGACAAGTGCCCAACTATGGGCCTCTCACTCACATCATCCGGTTTTGTGGCCGATGATAAACGCATTGACAACAAATAAAGACCCCAGATTAAATCACATCCCATAAGCGGTGGTAATTAGCCTTTGCGGAGAAATCCAGACAGTGACAAATGCCATTCTTGAGTCCATAGATCCTGCCATAAGGGCGCTTCAAGGAAAAGAAATCACGACAAGGCAGTACGTTACCCTTATTAAAATTTATGGGATCTTGCTAATAAAATTAGGCTAGATGAAATCTTTTCAACACAACACAATGACCATCCAACTCCCACGGAGCCTGCAATTCATTCGAGGTGTCGAGGAGTATCATCATCGCTTCTTCGAGATTGCCTACTGGCTTAGGCAATTTCGCTCCGACCCAAACCTGCCCACAACCTTTTTATGCTTTACCTCGTTTTTATCGGGTTGTCCGTGACATCGCTTTGCTACCCTGTCGCGCACATGTTGAAGTTGATGTCTTATAAAAAGACAAGAAAGTTAAAAAAAAAAAGAAAAGAAACAATGCAGACCGCAAAGCAAAATGTCCAAATGCAAGAATTGACTCAGATGGTGGGATAGATCATGAATGAGGAGGATGAATCCGAAGGAAAAGCACTCAGAACGATGCCAGTGAAAGACATTTTAACACAACCTCGCCTTACAATCATTCACCATGGCTGAATCTGTTTCAACATGATGACCACCACACTACCAATCATTTTTACTTTTTGCCAAACTAGGCGATGGAGATGAGTCAATTGTCATCATGCCACTCGGTCCGGGATCCCATAGTCGAAGTCTACGGCAACTTGCCCTCCGACAGGTTCATGAATTAAATTCGGAGTCAATTGAACAACATTCATCCAGCCTCCCCATCCGAAACATACGTCATCGTCAAGAGAGAACATGTTCTCCCTAAATGCCCGCCCCAGGTAATTGGGAAACTGCTCCTGGCGTTAAGAAGAGGGCATCATCTCTACACGTTCAGGATACTCTCTCGGTTCTCAACGATCAACCCCTGACATTCAAGAGAATGGCATTTATGGGACACTTATCAATACGGAGATCTTGATTCTACAATATTGGAGGACACAGCTTGCAAAAGAACACACCAAAGTGCACAAAGACCTTCAGCGCCGACAGAACTTGCGCATATTATCCCATATTCTATTGGGAAATGGGAAAGCAACGACCAGGTTTGTCAACACTTTTTCTTATTCCCATAAATTGCTGACCCGGTCCAGAACCATGTCGTGGCACAGATATGGGCGACCTTGACAAAGCGCTTCCACCGAATCATTCTCTGACCGACAAACATCAAAGATTCTACGAATTTCATGACATTATTTTAAAGCTACTGGCCTTACGGTACATATGCCGGGAGGGTTACCCTCCCAACTCCATGAGTAAGTCTTGAACTATCATGAAAATAGGCAATCCACTGACCAGGAAGATCTCATAGATTACGCGTGCCGAATCCAACAGCTGGATGGACGGTGATATTGCTGAAACAAATGTTGTTGCAGAGTACACACCGCTAGCAGCGACAATGTCATTGTCTCCGTTCCCGAACTACTGGCTTGGACTATCAGAATAAATTTCTAGATCACCAGCAAGTCTTGAACCCTGAGGAAGAGACAGTAAGCTCGGCTGTTCTGAGCTGACTCCAAGCATTGACGATGAAAGGCTGAACGAAAACAGTCGGCGAACGGTATTGCCAAGGTCATGGCAGACAAATATGAAGCCCGCACCGATGGCTATCTTCAATTCAAGTACCGAATACAACGTTACAAGCGATTATCGAAGCCAAGGCCAGGAGAAGAGATTAAGCGACCTCATCAATACAAATGCAAGAGGCTGCTCAGATGGTAGCCTGGATCATGGACGACCGGAACAGGTCCAA